CCCTCATTAGTGAGATCAAGAGTAGCAAAGTGTGTATCCACCCTTCTCATTAGCCTTGTCGTGGTTAAGTGAGAGTTCGTGCTTGTTACTCTTGGTGATCGCCATCACCTAGACGGCTTGGTAGTGATTGGGAGCTTGGTGATCATCCGGAGAGCTTGTGGATGACCCAACTCAAGTTGTGAGCGGTTGTAGGTGATTCACCGCGACGAAGTATCGAAGAATCAACCCTTAGAGAGCACTTGATCCTTACGTGGATCAAGGGGGAGCTACACCCTTGCGCGGGTGCTCCAATGAGGACTAGTGGGGAGTGGCGACTCTCCGATACCTCGGCAAAACATCGCCGCGTTCTTCCTCCTCTCTTTACTTTGAGCAATTCAATTCTTGTCATTTACATTCTTAGAATTGTCATGCTAGAGTAGGATTGGAACATAGGTTGCAAGTCTTTTGTGCGGTAGAACAATTAGAAACACTTTCTAGGCACAAGGGGTTAATTGGGCTAACCATAGGATTTAATTATTGCAAAGAAATTTAGAATTAGACCAATTCTCTCCCTCTCTTGGGCATCTTGATCTTTTCAGTGACAACCTAGGTGGACTAATTGTGTTTATGTGAGACACACAGGTGATTAGTCCATAGGTATATATGTGTGAGCAACATATGCCATGGAGGTGGAAATGGCTCGGAGATGTTGCAAAGCTTACACATGTGATGATGAAGGAGCTCATTGCACATGAGACATGACATTAAGTCATGTGATCAAGGTGAAGAAGATCAGGACAAGACTTGGCTTGATGGACCGGTTGCAAGCGTGAAGGGCAAGTCGGAGGCTTTATAGTGATGGACCGCGTGGCGGTGAAGCTTAAGCAAGACTTGGCACCGATGGACGAAGGCAACGGTGAAAAGCAAGTAAAGTCAAGATCGATGAACCAATACGATCACGTGATGATATGAAGTGGATCATATCATTTGGTGATTGGTTGGTGCATGTGTTGCATCAACATTGGAGGAGATGGAATGGAATGCGCAAGGCAAATGTATAACCTAGGGCATTTCATTTCACCGGTCATAGGTGTGTAGAGAAGTTTATGACCGGGTTTAGGATAGATGGTTGTACTATCAAGAGGGGCAAACTTGTTTGCATATCGGTCATCTAGTGCCACTCGTGTGATCTGACTTTGCATCGTCGCTAGGATCGAGTGGCGTGGCAAGTTGAGTGGCTAAATCCTTTGGAAAATGATTGTAAAAATGCTAACACACATACACATGGTGGTGTTGGCACATTTACAAAGGAGATGAAGTTGGAGTTGATGTGGATCAACTCGGCGATGAAACAGAGACGAGAAGGGTTTGAAACTTTACTGGTGGAGTGTCCGCCCATAGAGTGCGGATAGTCCGACGGTGCCACCGGCGCCCTGTACAGAAAAGACAGGGTTTCGCAGAACTGATCAGACGCTGGCCTTGGCAGGACCGGCGCGTCCGGTCAGTGGCAGCAGTGAGCGCGCGGTCTTGGTCTCATGACCGGACGCTGGCGCGAAGAGTGAACGGACGCTCAGGGTCTGCGTCCGGCCAGTGCTGACGTATGGTGATGTAGGTGGCACTGGAGTTTGGCGCGCGAGCACAGAACTAATCAGATGCTGGTCTACATCCGATCATGGTGGACCGGACATGTCCGGTCGCAAAACAGAGGCTCAGGGAGCTCTCTGGAAACGACCGGACTCAGGCACAGCAGCGTCCGGTCATTCACTGTGAAGCGTCTGGTCGTAACTTAACTGTTGAGATCGGGCGGCTTCGGTTGAACGCAGAGCGACACGTGGATGGCGTAGAGTGACTGGACGCTGGCAGGGTGCGTCCGGTCGATCTGACCGGAGCGTCCAGTCACCCCGAGCTGTGTCCAGTGAAGGGGTACAACGGCTCTATTTCCGTGGAGACTATAAATAGAAGGGGTCTCGGCCTTGGGCCGGTAGCTGAGCACACTAGAGCCTTGGTGGCTTATGTGGTAGTGCTTGGTAGCCCTCTAACTCACTCTAGCTTGATAGTGTTCATTCGATTGAGTGAGCGAGCGATTTTAGTGTGATTGCATCATGAGGTTGCATCGAGTGGCACTAGGTGATCAAGTTGCAAGCCGGTGGTGCTTGTTACTCTTGGAGGTTGCCATCTCCTAGATGTCTTGGTGGTGGTCTCCGTCAAAGCCCGCAAAAAGCTTGTGCGGTGCTCCGGAGAAGAGCTTTGTGAGGGGCATTGTGCTCGCCTCCCGGGAGCCACGAAGAGCAACTCTAGTAAAGCGTGTCATTGAGCTACCCTCACTTTCGGGGTAGGTTCTTGAGGTGCCCGACGTGCGGGCTTGGCGGGTGATACCAATTAGCCGTCGAACCACCAAGTGAGCGGTCGACACAACGGGGACTAGCATGTTGGCAAGCACGTGAACCTCGGGAGAAAAATCACCGTGTCAACCTTGTTCTTCCCATTGGTTTGCATCCTCGTTACACAAGCTTGTAATTACTTTCATATACATTGTGCTTGTGTAGTTGCTCTTGTAATTAGTTTGCTTGTATAGCTCACTAGTTATCTTCTTGCTTGTGTAGCATAGAATAGCTCCCTTGTGTGACTAATTTGATTTGTGTAACCTTGTTAGTCACATTGCTTAGTTTGTGTAGCTAAGTATTTGCGCTCTCTAATTTGGCATTGGTTGCTCTGTTATTAAGCATTGCTAGTAAGCCTAGGTGGCTTTGTGCTTTTGCTTACTAGCATATGTAGAAGCTCCCTCATTGTTTGAAGTATTGGTGGCATAGGTTTGTATGACCTTACTTTTATAATTGGTTAGGTGAGCTCTAGCTAGCCCGACACCTTAATTGCTATATTAGGATCTTTACTAGGTGCTAGAGAATATAGATAGAGGGGTGTAGTCTTGGCTAGACCGATAGATTTAATTCCGTACTTGTTTCGGTTAGCCGACGCGATTAAGATTTAGAAACGACTATTCACCTCCCCTCTAGTCGCCATCTCGACCGTACATCGGGGCCCCTCCTCGTTAGTGTAGTTCCCGGCAAGGCCATGGGCGCGGGCGTCGCGTGGTGAGGCTCGTGGTGACCGCGCGGTACTCGCCTTCGTACGAGAGCGAGGAGGGGCTTTAGGGGCGGCGGAGGTTGGGGGAGGAGGGACAACGAGCTTGCTGGCTACAGCAATTCCCTACCAGATAGGGCGGTGACGTTGTGTTTCAGGTGTTTCAGACTCATGTTTCAAGCGTTTCATCTGGATGTTTCATACGTTGCAATGATAATATACGCATGTTGTAAGCTTATGTTTCATGTGTTTCAGTTGTTTTTCAGACGTATGTTAAGGTCCTGTTTGGTTTTTTGTATCTGTGAAAAAAAAGTCATTGTGTTTGTGAGTTGTGAAAAAAAAACTCTTTAAAAAGTTTGTGTGTGAGTTGTAGAAAATGAAAGTTGTTTGGTTAAATAAGTATAAAATATACCTTTTATCTTTATCTCTCTTGAAACAACTATGGAAGAGCTTTTTATTCCACCAATTTTGAAAAAGTGATAGAAAGTGTGGTCAACCTTGACTTTCAAAAATGAACTATGGAAAAGTTTGCTTTCGAAAAAAGCACCCTCCAAAAGCAGCCCCTTTGGTTGGGCTTTTGGCTTTTGGGGCCAAAAGCCAAAGCCAAAAGCCCAACCAAACAGGGCCTAAGTGTTTCATCTGGATGTTGTAGAAGTATATCTGGATGTTGTATAACATGCATGTTTAAGGTGTTTTATACGTATGTTGCAAGTGTTTTTCATCTAAATATTGCATATGTTGCTATGGCTATACACGCATGTTTTAAGTATTTCTTATGTTTTCAGTCGTATGTTTCAAGCGTTTCAACTCGATGTTTCAAAAGTAGATCTGGGGGCACATGTTGCAATGGCCCGGTGGCTCGGGGACAATGACCTTCCAGAAGCACCCGCACATCGCATATTCTTTGAAGTATTTGCCAGGTCACCGTCCGGCGCTGAGCAAGGGCGACGACGCCGCGGCGCGCATCCGTAGACGGGGTTACGCGGGGCACGCTCCACTCTGTTACGGCCGTGTCATGTGAGCGCAGCGGGCACGATGCATTCGAACGGGAAGCGGACGCCTCCTGCGGATGGACGTCCGGACGCTAGCCGTTCCATTTTTTATAACAACACATAGCAAAATTATTGCTTGTCGCCTAGTTTGAATGTACGTTAAATTGGTTCGCTTTAAAACCTAAAACGTGGATTACTAGTGACAAGAGAACTAAATTTAGGTTTTGACACATAGCGATATACTAATTAGTATCTGAATTGCGATACACTTTATAGCTACTATAAAAAACAATGTCCACTTGTATCGCAAATAATCCGTGTAAAATTCAGATACCAAAACGGGCGCTCCCGTCTCCGTTTCCCACACGCCAAAGGTGTGAAACCTGAAGCATCATCGCCTATTCTGCCCGAGACCCAAAACGAGGTCGGCGACCAGCCTCCCACCGCGCACGCGTGGCGGTAGCCCAGCTCTCCTGCCCGCGCACGGTACCCAGGCTCCGGCCCCGCAACACAGACCCGCGTCGCCCACCGGCAGCCGCCGTCCTCTCGCGTCTTACCTCACGCACGGATAAATAGCAAACACCTCTCTGCTTCTCCGCCATTTCTTTTCTGTTCGGATCGGGTCTGGTCAGTTCTCCGTGTTGCGTCTCCTGTAAGAACAAGAACAAGAAAAAAAAAAAGAGAGGAAAGGAGAGTTTCTTTCGGGTCGTCCTTCTCTCGGATTGTCGAAAGGCCGCTCCTTTAGGAGATTTGCGCGCTTCTCGTCGAGATTAGTCGACCGGTGTTCGGATTGAGCTGTTTGGGGTGGAGGAATTTTGAGGCCAAGAAGAGAGTCGGAATCGGATCGGGAGTTCTTGTGGTCCGAGGGTGCGGAAGAAAAGCGAGGGATTTTTAGGAGAATTTCTTGTTTGGGGAAAAATCGGTTTGTTGAGCGGATTAGAGGCGGAGATGGGAGCCGGGGCTGAGGTCATGCATCAGGTCGTGCCGCTGCTGGAGCCGCCGTTCCACCGGTGCGTCGTTAAGAGCGTCGATGTCATGGAGGTGGTGGTCGCCGTGGCGCCTGGGCAGGTGCAGCCAGCGACGTCGCCGAAGGCCGTGGTGGAGGTTGCCGTAGAGGTGCCCGATCTGGTGAGTTTTCGATTTCAGCTGAGCAGAAGTTTCGGTTTTTTTCTTCTGTTTATTAATTAGTGTTGTGGTTTGGTCAAATTTTACTTGGATCACCGAAGGAAATTGTATTTCGTGTAGTATTGCTCTGATCTCGATTATGTTTTCTTGAGTACGATAATATGGTGAATTGCAGGAATTAATTGCTTAAATTAGAGCAGGGCTTTCTTTCCTTTTTTATTTGTTGGTTGCTGTTTCTGTTTGTTCATATCGATTTGTGTAGGATATATATTGATAAGTTGTATTTGAAATGTGTAGCCGCCTCCTAAATTGGTTGCTGAAGTTATATGAGATTCTGCCATCTTGTGACGCATTGCTGGCTTGGTCTTTGTAATTGGTTGTGCTACTTAATCAATTGATTGTTATCGTGCAGAACAAAAAAGAATAGTTGTTTGGTCAATTCAATACGTCATAGTTGGTGGCTCTAAATTAGAACCAGAACAAAACTTCATGGTGTGTTTTGTGTTAATTATAAACATATCAGAGAAGCAAATTCTAGGTTTATATCTCATTATATGTGACTACAAAAGACACCAGCATAACTAACAGTTTTGTGCTTGATGCAGGAGTTCAAGAGAGCTTCTAATGCTGGGAGTAGTGTATCTGCAGAACAACTGAAATTTGTCCCGAGCATTCGATCTGGTAGCTTTGCTGATATTGGACCTAGGCGGTTCATGGAAGACGAACATATTAGAATTGATGATCTTTCTGGTCATCTTGGCTCACTGTTGATGGTCTCTGCGCCTAGCGCCTTCTATGGGGTATGCAGTGTGAATGATGTTAGGCTAATTATAATCATAAAATTATAATCTGAATTTCTGAACCCTGTATGAATTGATTGGTCTTTTAACATTTGCTTAGGTGTTTGATGGTCATGGGGGTTCAGATGCAGCAGCCTACATGAAAACACATGCAATGAGGTTGTTCTTTGAAGATGCTGACTTCCCTCAAGCATCACAAGAAGATGAAATATTTGCTGAATCTGTTGAGGAGTCAGTCCGCAAAGCTTTCTTGCGGGCTGACCTTGCTCTTGCTGATGATTCAGTCATCAACCGTTCTTCTGGCACCACAGCGCTGACAGCATTGGTCCTTGGGAGGTAATTTGAAAGTGGAACCCAAGCCTCTACAGATCTTAATGGTCGTTTCAGTGCTGTGATGTGGTAAACCATTCTAATCTTCGGTTCCTATCTTTCAGGCAATTGTTAGTAGCAAATGCTGGGGATTGCCGCGCAGTCCTGTGTAGAAAAGGGATAGCGGTGGAGATGTCAAAGGATCATAGGCCGACATACGATGCGGAGCGTCAAAGGGTTATCGAGTGTGGTGGATACATCGAGGATGGCTACCTCAACGGTGTACTCTCTGTGACCCGGGCTTTAGGGGACTGGGACATGAAACTGCCCCAAGGCTCTCCGTCGCCTCTTATCGCCGAGCCAGAGATCCACTGGACCACCCTGACGGAAGACGACGAGTTCCTCATCATCGGCTGCGATGGGATATGGGACGTGATGAGCAGCCAGCACGCGGTGAGCACGGTCCGCAAGGGGCTCCAGAGGCACGACGACCCCGAGCGGTGTGCTCGGGAGCTCGCCATGGAGGCGAAGAGGCTTGAGACCTTTGACAACCTCACTGTGATCATCGTGTGCTTTGTCCCTGACCTCGCGGGGGCCTCAGCCGCAGCTGTGCCTTCAGAGGAGCAGGCCCCAGCGCCGGCTGGAAGGATCAGGTGCTGCAAGAGCTTGTCGCCGGAGGCACTCTGCAAGCTGAGGAGATGGCTCGAGTCTGACCACTAGAGAGGCCTATGTTTCTGTGTTGTGGCTGTTTAAATATTTGGCGCTGATGTTGTTCCGTCTAGTACGGCTTGTGCTTACATGGCCAGCAATTTTGTAGCGAGTTTCTGCGGCTACTGCCGCCGCCGGCGCTTTTGTTTCACACCGTTTTGTTGGATGTACATACCATTGTTTGTTGCCGTTGTTGCTCGGTTCAGCTCAGTTTGGCAGAGGATGACTACTCCAGTTTGCAAACCCCTTTGCCTGATGGGATGGTGATTTTTTTCAGTTGGTTAGCCACGTTCGGTGGGAACGAAGATTAGAACCATCACTGTTCGTTGGGGTAGGTTTTCAGGTTTCAGCAGTCCCCACTGCTCGTTAGGGGTAGGTTTTCAGGGTTCAGCAATCAGCAGTCCCCGAGCCTGATTTGGCTGATTGGAGCGTGTCCTGTACTCCTGTACTGATATCTGCTATTCGTGTGGTCATCCGTGGTCTACAGAGAAAAAAAATATCTTCGAGCACTTGCGGTTGATCGCTGCAGGCCAGGACGGAGGAACTGCCAAGATAAGGTCCAGGATCCGGTCACAAACATAGGATCCGCTGCTGCCTGCCGGAACAAGTTGCATGCATGTAAGGTTCGGTCCGTTCGCATGCAGTTGCCATCAACGAAAAGGTGGAAATAATCCGGGGCCGCCGCGTTGTTTGACCATAATAGAACAGGGAGAATCAATCCGGCTGAATCGAGAGAGCGCACAAACAATGCGCACAAACAATGGAGGTCCTAGCCCCACGGCCTTGACTGACTTCAACAGTAACCCCGGCTGACCTCAATGATTCCATGGTTAGGCTAGCCTCAGTGCCATGTAACACATTGTGCTCACGTGGCATGAAATTTAAAGAGAGAGAGAAAAATAGTACTCCATCCATTCTAAATTATAAGGCGTTTTGACTTTTCTTAATACATAGCTTTTGATATATACTATAAGATATACACTATACACTAATAACTAGAAAAGATAAAATATCTTATAATTTAGCATGGATGGAATATCATTTAGAAAATATGCACTCCCTCCATCCTAAAATATAAGGAATCAAAGGTTCAAAATTTGTATCAAAATATAAGTGTCTTTATTAACCGAACACCCATTTCTCTCTAAGTACACATACCTTTCATATCTAATTCGGCAGGAAATTATAACATATTTATTCCTTTTAAATTAGTAAAGCAATAACAGAACTACTTACTCCTCCCTAATTAGTGAGGGGTAATGCGGTATTTGGCCAAGCTCATTATTTGCCTGAAAATCGCTTCCTTCCTTATATTTCAGGACGAAGGGAGTAGCTTAGACACCGAAACTAACTTTTGGGAACACATATATGTTTTGGGTCTATTATGAGACAAATGTCACTCCATATTAGGTATTTGGGTCTAAACTTGGTTCAAGTGATAAAGTTGTCCCGGGCAACACTATCATTTGAACAAAGTGTAAACAGAAATACCTAAGAAACAACTCTTTGACATGGTACTTTTGGTTATCAGTGACGGAGTCAGGGTAGCTGGAAGGGGCCATGCCCTCCCCCCCTAACATATCACACCAAAAAAATTTACTATTATATAATTTATAATTTTTATTTATATTTGGAAAAAAATATAACAAAAGTCTTATCATATATAATCTTCTAGATAATCATATAAAGTATAACCATATAATAAAATCATCCATATGAGCACATCCGAAAGACACTAGATAATAAAACCATCCCTATAAGCACATGGACCGGTAGATCTCAAGATTTACGAAATCATCGTAGAGCCTTGCTGTCAACGGGTATGTCGACCGACCACCCATATCAACATCTACCATATTAAATTGTAGTTAATATATCCACCATAAAATACGTTTTTATAGCATATTTATGTAGCAGATCGAGATTTCCAAAATAGAAACTCCGATCCTTTCGCCCCTCTATGATAGTCCCAGGATATCTCGGCTATCACGGGCGTCCAATTTACAGCTGATTACAGAGTCATACAACATCAGAGTGTAAAAATAAATATATTACAATAGTTTGGGTACAGCTAACAACAAACAAAATACCGTTATTCTATCGTGGAAGCGAAGCTTGGTGATCTCCCATCCAGAGGCATCCTTGAGTGTAGAACGAAACCAACTACTAATCTCCACATCACTGCAAGTCAAGAAAATCTGCACACCGCCAGATGTGTGCAGGCCATGGTCAGCACCGATGAGCTTTAGTGAAAAATAGAAAATAAAGGGATCTAGCGATCCTAATAGTTTGGCTATGGTTTGCATCCTTAGCGCATGCAGAAAAGCATCAATAATAAGTAAAGTGTATATCATCTCTAATCCCAAACCACAATCTCATTCTCACCATCCACTCATCATCCCTCACAACACCCTCGGTCTCTTAGTCTAGTCGACGAGGCGGCCTTCGCACGCCCCTCGTCTCAACAGCCTCAAGCCGGACCTTAACTTCAGGGGGAGAGAAGCAAAGCACAAGAGAAGCTAGTGAGTTGAACCCTGAACACAGGGAAGTGATCATATCCAAGACCGCGGCTATACGTATAGATTATTAACCTCTACAGAGAGTACACTGTTACCCCACACGAACACCACCAGTGAATCACCATCAGGGATGAACACCGCCACCGCATACTAGGCCGACTAACACCAGTCCTGTCCACCAGCCGGAACGAAGATATATAGACGCCACTATATAAGCTAGGGTCGTGTCGTCGAGGTATCACGGAGTAGTCTCCGCCCCCTGACACTAATTGCACAAGACCATAGACCGCGTGCCTACTCACTCCCACAGAGACTGATGGTTGCCTGCACTACTAGGGCAACGGGCCGTGCCCATTTAGGCATGTGGTGTGTATGAAAGTATCCCGTGATTTATGGTTGTAACTTACGTCAGTCCTTAGGTTGGCCAGAGCGAGCACCTTCCACCAATCCGTGTGCCCTCAGAGCACTAGACTCACCCCACATAGGTGATCTATCCATCCACAAACTTCTCATCCCAATGTCCCTCAAGGACCGTCGTCCCTTTAGGACTATGTGTTCCCGCCACAAGAACTACCCTTGGTGCACTCCATACACCACATCAACCTCTCACTCTAGTCCAGTATCTTCAAAGAATCAGGTCAAGGACAAGGAAAACCTCCAGAACTCCTCACATGACCACCACCCACTCGATACCAACTGAAATGATCCCATTTTTCTCGAAGGGAAATCCACATATTTGAACTATAACGTGATAGTCCCAGGCGATCATCCCATCACATTATCAATTATCAGTCAATATCACAGTCATACATCAAATACCTATCTTAAAAGAGAGTACAAATAGCAAGGTTTACTCTTTATTACATTGCCACTTGGTAGAATCACTCAGAGCATGTAGCATCTAGAACAACATCAAGTAGAAGGGCAGCGGGCGTTGACTCCATCTTCTCAAACCAAACTTGCGTGTAGGAACAAGACCTCTAATCCTCCCAACCGTCTCCCTGGTAGTCATACTCAGGCTCGAAACCTGCCAAACAATTATCAGTACGATTTTTATTGGCCACTGGCTCCCACCCTATGCTTTGCGTTTGCTTTGTGGTAGTGGAATGCTAGGATAGAGCAAAAGACCTATTTGTTGTTGTAGTTTCCTATGCGAGTATGCCAAGTTTTAATAATAATTCATCAAGTTTTAACCCATCTCATCCACATGTTCCCCATCCCATCACACACATCTCACCACTTCACACTCTCTAGGTGACAAGGACGACTCCCTCTCGTACCTTGCCTCATCGGCCAAAGCTAGAAACCAACACAAGAACCTAGGGGGAGAGAAGAAAGGACTCCACTCACTAATCAAGGGAAGCGTAGGTCATAGGAATGTCCATATCCGAGGACGTGACTATACGTATAGATCGATCAACTCTGCAGAGCATGTACACCTAGAACCACAAGATCACCATCATCAGCGGTGCCCTGCCTAGGCTGATACCGACTGCCTCCCAACCGGTATGGTGCCACCCTACCACTCAGCCCTAGGCCACCCCGGAGTCCACTGGCACGCTGAGACTGTGAGACATAGTACCAGGCCCCAAAGGTCACTACGCTGTCTTAGGAGGGTGTGGGCTACACGCATGTACGTCGACAAGGAAAACCTCTAGAACTCCTCACATCACCCCCACCCACTTGAGATTCACTGCTCCCGTCATGTATCAAACCATACCTCATGGGGGTGCCTCGCGGCTAAACCCCAACCACCATCCACAATATCCAAATATCCATCACACATCACATAACAAGGAATATATGTAATTATGATGGAATAAATGCAAGCAAGCAGACAGACATATATAAGTGCGAGCGCGAAGCTAGGTAATCAGGGTGAAGTGGCTTCAATCAAGGCTATAACACCCTAGGTGTTAGGCTTGCATAATTGCACTTGCATTGCATAAGCATAAGCATTTTCATATGAAACATTTCTATGAAACATGTGAAACATACTATTGTTCTTCTATGTTTCATTGTATGTACGCTTTATAATCATGTGTGATTAAGTGCAAGTGGTTGATGTTGTTCACTAAAACATCTTAGCTACACTTAGGATGCTTAATGGAACAATGTTCATGTAGATTACTTTACCTAATTAAGCTCCAAAGCGATGACATGCTTGGTTGACTTAGTAAGTATTTGTGTGTGACCAATGTGAAATGCTTGTGGGACCTTAGGAGTACCCTAAACTTCTTTAGAATGTCACTAGGAACAACTTTGGTATTCATGACTAAGGCTAGTTTGGTCTCTAAGTCATACCTATAGTGTAAAGTACCATTTTCATGATGTATGTTTGACTGGAGTTGAACAACACTTTAGAAACTTTGCATGGTTGTGCACCCTAAAACAAAGTTATAGAATTCAAGTAGTGTAACAACTTTTATTTTTGGGTCATAGGCTAGTTCAGCTCCTAACATGCTTGAATTTGGATCACAAAAATCAATGCAA